AACCGGTTCTATGGGCATGGCCTAATTCGTGGGTGTGGCTTGGTGGTCACGTGACTGGCTGGGCGTGGCTTGTATGTAAATATTGTGAATATTGTAAATATTGAATTTTTTTTATAAAAAAAGAGCAACTTTTACCCAAAATCAGGCAAAGCAGGCAGATTGAGTTGCTCACATAATCACAGATTCACTTAGAGATCTATCTATCTGCAATCTGCTACCTGAGTCTACACTGAAAAATAGAAGCTTCAGTCCTAAGGAGGGTTCAGCTCTGCTTTCCTTCAGTCCTAAGGAAGGTTCAGCTCTGCTTTCAATGATTTCCTGCTTTCTAGCTAATCTAAATGTCCTGGCACAGCAGAACAACTGATGGTCAGGGTGAAAAAAAGGAAAAATAGCAGTTTGATGGTGTGCATGTCAGGTAAGGAGTGAGTGGGTGGGGAGGGGAGGGGCCAGCCAGTGGCAAATTTGCCGGTTCTCTGAACTGGGCAGAATCATAACAACTGGTTCTATAGAACTGGTCTGACCAGGTAGAATCCCACCCCTGCTTTTGTAATATTCTAATGCTACTTTCCAGGGTTTTTATTTTATTATAAAGGAGTTTCTTTTACTTTCTTTTAAGTTCCAAAGTCCAATTTCTTAAAAAGACCAAGCACTTTTTTAAAAAGTCACTGAAATTTTTCCTGTACCATCAGGTGGCACTCTTGGGTCTTTTCCACAATCTACTCTTTCCTTAACTTTAACTTTCTTTGTTAAATATAGTACTTTTATTAAGTTCGCTAATTTCAATCATTAGCTATTATTTCTTTTCTTTCAACACACTCAATTTCAGCATTTAGTTATGCCCTTTAAGTGCTAATAATCCAATAATTGTCCAGTTTAATTTCTAAGCCTTTGTTGTGTTCAAATATTTTCCTTTATATTTTCTCCTCCAAGTTAATCCAATACAATAATTCAAGCCAATTTTTTAAAATCCAATTTCCTTCTCACTTTCTCTGGTTGCCGCTCCTACATACTTTCCTCCAAAATAGTCCTTTATTTTTTAATACTGGGGTACCTCAAAATCCATGTATTTTGCCTGGTTCACACTCCACTTGCTGCTTCTTCACTCCAGCACAGCCTTAATTTCCCGGACTGTTCTTCGTCTTTGTGGTGGCCATTTTGGGATCACCGCTACAGTTTGCCCTTGGGAGGGGTTTTTCCTGTCAGGGAGGGGAATTGCGGCTCCCCTCAACCCTCCAGGCAATTCTCTCCTTCTTCACCACCCCTCCAGGGTGGCTCTGGTCTCAATCGGGATCCTCCAGCAAGTGAGCTTGGGGCGAAACTGAGCACAATTGCTGATTCTGCTCCGACTCCAATGATGAACAAACCAGAACTCAGAAATATTTGAACATGTTTTTGTACCTTGTTTGCCCCGATATATTCCTTCTGTACTTCTGACATGACTAACTTAGATGTTTCTCATTTAATCATCAATTCAGATAGTATATGTCAGTGATGGCGAAGCTATGGCACACATGCCGCCATTTGTGCTGGCATGTGAGCTGCAGGCAAACTTACCTCACTGTGCATGCGCACGCCTCCCAACTGATTTTTGGCCTGTTTGAGGCCTTTTTCGGTCTTCCAGAGGTTTGAGGAAAGCTTCTGCAGCCTTTGCAGGCCAAAAAATAGGCCTGTTTCATCACTTCCTGTATTTCCGGAAATACCAGAAGTGATGAAACTGGCCCATTTTTTGGCCTGCAAAGGCTGCAGAGGCTTTCCTCAAGCCTCTGAGAGGCTGAAAAAGGCCTCAAATGGGCCAAAAATCAGTGGGGAGGTAATCAGTGCAGGTAAGGGGGCGGCGGGGGGAATTGTGCGCCCATGTGCAGGGGGTGGGGGGGCACGCGCATTGCCTTCTGGGAGCTGACATGCGGGCATGCAACAGGAGCCCAAAAAAGTTAGCCACCACTGGTATATATTAATGAACTCATGAATTCAGCTCAACTTAAAAGAAACTTTACGTTTTACCCAACTGAATGGAAAAGAAGCTATTTACTAAATTGAGAAAAACCTGGTCCAACCAATAATTTAAACAAGAAATGAAGAGTAAAGAGAAAGGCACAGTATCAGTGGTAGGATGTGTACATTAAAAAGACACAGATTTTCTACCTATCACTTAAAGCAGCTTTCAGAAAACTCACTGGAAAAGATTTAGATATCAGAGAGCTACAGCCAGCAACATACTGAGTTAGATGGATCAATGATTTGATTCACTGGTTTGCTTCATAAAACAAATCCAGCAACAATGTGCTGTGTTTCAATCTGACTTTATATGTTATACAAACTTAGCTTCTGCAGTCTGCACTAAATCATTGAAGAGTGAAGAGTGAACTGTTGTTTGCTTAATAAATTATGATTAAACTTTGTAGTGTAAAATCTAAATGAAACAAGTGTAGTTAACCACAGGTTTAAGATATCCTTCAATATTGGATCATGCTTATCAAGGCATTTACACAACTAGTTTATAAAAAAATTACAGCACATTCTCAAGCCATTGGTTTCCTTCTCTACCATAATTTTCTGCGTATTATTGTAATTTATGGGATAAGCAGTTCACGAAAATCAATATAGATTTTGCAATTTCAACGGATATATCAATATCAGATATATTTTGTAAACACAAGCAAATTTGTCTTTTCTAGAGAGCTTCTGAGAGTCACTTGCAATAAAATCCTTCTTCTGCACACCTTGGCACCAGTAACTAAACATCCTGAAATGTAAATTAGGAAAAAAACATTCCTTAAATATGGTAACACGTGATTTTTTTCCCCTGTTGGGGGATTTAGCTATGGTAAAAAAAAGTGGACACAATCTTTCCCAAAATCAGGAACATGAGAAGTCATTAAAGCTTCATTCCAAGGCAAAAATATATCTTGAAAAATCAGACTAGTAGGGTGGGTGACTCAGTTCCAGAATAAATAGGCGTCCATCACTAGTGATATTTTTAAAACATTTCTGTCCTTTCCAGATGACAAGTCAGTATATACCCCAACGTGGCAATGTTTGTTAAAATATGCCAACTCAGAAAGCCAGAAACTTGCTTACATTACAATGTCCTCTCACAAGAAAAGCCAACGGTGCAAGTGATTAAGCTCCTGTCTTGTTTTTCTATACGTTTTCTTGGTTTTGACATCACAAACCTCTTGCTTATATATATATCGCTTTTGATTATATATCGCTTCATAGTGCTTTGCAGCACTCTCTAAGCAATTTACAGAGTCAGCATATTGCCCCCCAAAATCTGGGTCCATCCAGATTGTTGGGGGCAATTTTACCATCCTCAGGATAGAATCAACCTAGAAATCAGGGACTGTGAGTTCTAGTCTTGCCTTAAGCACAATGCTTGAGTCAGTCACTTTCTCTAAGCCTTAGAAAACAGACAATGGCAAACCAATTCTTAAAAACCTTGCCAAGAAAACTGCAGGGACTTGTCCAAGGAGCTCCAAGAATTGGACACAACTGAACAGAAGGAAAAAAAGTAGGCAAGACAGTTTTTTTCATTGTTCTATTCTCTATTGAAAGGCAATGAATAAGTGCTGTTTTTGCAGCAATCTACTTATTTCTAATTTACCAGAAGGCAGGGAATAATATGCATCACTACTACCGGGTTTTTTTTTCATTCAGGCAGAACACACCCACATCTATTTATATAGTGCCATCTGTTTACAAGGGCACTTTATAAAACGCAAAATGATAGATACCCCAAGAAATTTACAAAATGCAAGTATTCATCATTAAATCTTCTGGTTAACATTATCAACAAATTAATGCTGAAGAAGCAAGAAGTCATAGGGCATGACAAGTAGAAATGTTTGGTTAATTTTGAGCAAATTTAACAAGATGAAAGCTAAAAGACCTTGTTTCGGTAAAACAGAAACAAACAAAAAAACCAGAAACAAACTAGACTGAACACGTTTAAAAAAAATCAATCATTTCAAAATATTTAAGATAATGAAGCTTATAGCTCATGAAAATCCCAAATCCACAATCTCAGAAAATTAGAATATTACATGCAATCAATAAAACAAGGATTGTAACATAGAATAATATCGGACCTCTGAATAGCATGCATATGTACTCAGTACTTCGTTTGGGCCCTTTTTGCAGCAATTA